AAAAAAAAATGTACAAAATGATGTAAAAATAAACTTATAAAAAAAAATCCTGAACAAAATCTTAGCAAACCAAATTCAACAATTCATTAAAAGGCTAATATAACATGACAAAGCAGAATTTATTTCAGATACAACAATGGTTCAACATCCAAAATTCAATCAACCACATCAACAAAAAATAAAAATAGATGACCATATCAATAATGCTAGGAAGCATTTGATAAGATTCAACACCTATTTATGAAAGACTCACCCAAAAAAAAAAAAAAAAAATGGAAAAAAAGTGTATAACACAAATAAACAGAATCATGAACGGAAGAGCACACGTCTGAACTCCAGTCACTGCTCGACATCTCGTATGCCGTCTTCTGCTTGAAAAAAAGGAACAGATGGAACATACCTCAACATAATAAAAGCCACTTATAACAAACCCATAACTACCATCACTCCCAATGGTGAAAACTGAAAGCTTTATACTAGGATCTTGTGTCAGAAAAGGAAGCCCACCTTCATCACTACTCTTCAACATAGTATTCAAAGACTAAGCAAGAGCAATTAGGCAAAACAAAAATATAAAAGCAATTGAAATTATTAACAGATGACATAATATACATAGCAAATGCTATAATACTAACCTAATAAAAACAATAAATCAGTTTACAGAATGTCAGGTTATAAAATCTATACAAAAATTAGTTGTGTTCCTATTTGCAAACAAACCTAAACAGGAAAAAAAATATTCCATTTACAATTGCATCAAATAAAATCAAATACCTAGAAGTAAACATAAAAAGAAGTAAAGGACCAAAAAGTGAAAATTGTAAGGCACTGTTAAAAGTAGAAGACACAGGCCCTCCCTGGTGGCATAGCGGCTTAAAGCACAGCACTAAGAAGCTAAAGCCACTTCAGCATGAGTTAGATCCCAGCCCCAGAGGTGACCCACATGGCGCAGCAGACCTCTCCTGACCCGCCTGCTGCTCCCCTCAGCAGTGTACTTCATCAGTAGGCCTGTTCTGCTACTCACTGTCTCTGGTGAATCCTGAATCCTCCTGATGAATACCCCTGTACCTCTGGTCTGTACCCCAGCTCTGCATGTATAAATAATAAATCTTTAAGAAAAAGCAGACAGATATTTCTGCTCATGGACTGGCACAATTAAAGTAACATTTTTAAAATAGCCATCTTATCCAAAGCAGTAAACTGATTCAATCCCAAAATTTGAATGGCGTTCTCAAAAAAGAAAAAGAAAAAAAAAAACTACTGAATTTATGTGGAGCCAGAAAAGACCCTAAATAAAAAATCCTGACCAAAAAAAAAAGGAAGAGTGGTACTATCCCACTATCAGACTTCAAATTGTCTAACAAAGCTACAGTAATCAAAACAGAATGGTATTGGATCAAAAAGAAACAGACCAATGGAATCAATTTTAGAGCTCAAAAATAAACCTATGTTTATATATACTTTATTCTACAGCAAAGGCACCAAAAGTATACACTGGAAAAAAGACAGTCTCTTTAATAAACGGTCTTGGGAAAACTGGATGGCCACATACAATATACACAAAAACTGACGTGAACAGAAGTTTTTGATGTAAGACCTAAAATTATATAATACATATAAGAAAACATAAGCAAAATACTCCAGGACATAAGCGTCCATGATATCTTTGTGTATTTATTTCCAACAGCAAAAACTAAAAGAATATGAACAACTGGAACTATACCAAACTAAAAAACATACAGACAGCAAAAAAAACTATCACTAAGCTAAAAGACACCTGTAGAATAGGAGAAAATATGTGCATACTATACATCTGGGAAGGGACTGATACTCAAGATCTACAAAAAAAAAACATAATTCAACAAAAAGAAAACAAATGACCCAATCAAAAGCTGGTCTAAAAAAATAGGCACTTCTCCAAAAAAGACATAGAGATGATCAACAGGCACATGAAAAAATGTTCACCATCGCTTATCACTGAAAGGCAAATCAAAACCACAAAAAATGTTCACCATCACTTATCATTGAAAGGCAAATCAAAACCACAATGGATACCACCTCACACCTGTGAGAACTACCCACATCAAAAAGACCTGAAACAAATGTTGGAGAGGGTGTGGAGAAAAGAAAATCAGCTACAATGTGGGATCTGTAGACTGGTCCATCCCTTACAAAAAACAATATAGAGGTTTCTCATAATATTAAAAATGGATCTACCATATAATTCAACAATTCCACTTTTAGGTATCAACCCAAAGAATTCAAAAACACTAATCTTAAGGAATATATACACTTCTATGTTCACTGAAGCATTATTTGCAAGTCATTACTTGCAATCGGTCCAAAGACCGATTACTAGAAAAGGAAGATGTGGTATACATACACAATGGAATACAACTCTGCTATTGAAAGAAATACTCTTGCTCTTTGACAACATGGATGGAACTGGAGGGGATTATGCTAAATAAAACAAGTCAGAAAGAAAAAAACTACAGAATGGTGTCACTTACATGTGGGATACAGAGAAACAAAACAAAGGACGACCAGATAAAGCTAAATCAGTAAAAAAGAACCCCAGAAAGTGACTACAGAACTGAAGCTACCAGAAGAGGAAAGACCAGAGGGAAGTAGCACTACAGAACTGGACTATGATATCCTGATGGTGGGTATGATCACCTGAAGGGGCAACCCTATATACAATGTTGTAAACTAATTATTATCTCAATTAAAAAAAAATATTTAAAAAAAAACCTCAACATAAAACAACTATGTGTGGTGCCAGATATTCACAAAAGTTACTGTGGTGATCATCTTACTATATACACATCAGATTATGTTGTATACCTGAGACGAATATGTCATACGTCAATTATATCTCAACTGAAAAAAAAAAAGGAATAAAATTGTTCCAGTAGAGAGTAATTTGCCTCTATGCTCTTCTGCTCATTTTGCTTAAATGACCCTTGGTGGAGGAGAGGGATCACAGGTTTCAGTTGTCTATCCTGAACTAAAGAGGAATAGGTGACAGAGAAAAACAAGGTAGAATTCAAAGGGCAGTGAAATGAGACCCAGAGAGTTAGCTACATTTCTGGCTCAAATGTCATTGGGGCATCTTACACAATCACTTAACTTCACTGGGCCTTTTTGTACTATTATCACATGAGAATGGAATTACACTAGATTAAAAATAAAATCCCGGCCCTCCCTGGTGGCGCAGCAGATTAAAGCACAGCACTGAGAATCTGAAGCCACTTCCGCATGAGTTCGATTCCCGCCTGCCGCCTGCCCAGGAGGAGACCACATGGCGAGCCAGACCTCTCCTGACCCGCCCACTGCTTCCCTCAGCAGTGTACTTTGTCAATCTGCCTGTTCTGCTCCCACTCTGTCTCTGGTGAAGCCTCTCACCGCCCCTGAGCCTCTGGCCTGTACCCCAGTTCTGTATGCACAAATAAATAAATAAATCTTAAAAAAAAATAATAATAAAATAAAATAAAATAAAATCCCATCTTGCTTGGGAATTCAGTGTTTTCATGACTATAGCAATACTTTTCTACTCATTAGTACCAGGATGAACTGAGAACAGCTGGGGGAGAACTCACACTAAAGAAGTCATTACATAGTCTGTGTATGACAGTTTTAGATACTTATCTATTTCTCTAATTTCATTGTGGCAAAGTCCTGTTTTGTGAAATGTCCTGTATTTGAGAACACTGCCAATTTTCTTTTCCAAAAAACCATTAGGGTTTAGAGTATATACAGAATAATATTGCTTTAAGACTATGGGATAGACAAAGCTTTCTTAAGCAGAACACAAAAAGCAATAACCATAAAAGAACAAGCTGATAAACTGGATTTCATCAAAATTTAAAGTTTCTGTTCTTCAAAGGACACCACTAATAGGCAAGCCATACAATGGGAGAAAATAGCCACAAAATACATATCTGTATACCTGACAAAGGACTTGTACCCATAATATGTAAAGAATTCCTACAATTTAGAAATAAAGACAAAATAATCCAATTAAAACATACAGAGAAATATATGGCCGCCATGTCTGTTAAAAGATGCTCAGTCTTCAATTATCAAGGAAATGTGAATAGAACCATAATAAGATATTACTATGCATAAAAGAGAATGGTTAAAATTGTAAAGATTAACAGTAACAAATGCTGGTGACATTTGAAAAGAATTGATGTTTCTTATAGACAAGCATACATTTATTCACACTATTCAGCAAATCCACTTTTAGGAATTTACCTAAAAGATATATAATATATTTATCCAAGAGAACTAACAGTTTCAAAAATTATCTATATTAAGAAAGTTTAAAGCAGTTAAACAGTCCAAAGTTCAAAACCAAATTTAGATGCAGCCACAAAATTATCACTGGCATCAGGAAAGAACTACTGATTATCTGCAATAACATAAATCTAAAAAGTGTATGTTGAACAAAAGAAGACACACAAAAGTCTAACACATATATTATTATTCCATCTATATGAAATACTAAAACAAGCAAAATTAATCTATGGTGACAAAATTCAAAAAGGTGGTTGTTCAGAAGTGGGAGGAGGAAAAATATGAGCACTGGCAAAGTGGGGCATTACAGAACTTTCCTAGAGAACAAAAATGTTCATAAGGATAATGATGACATGGTTGTGGTTATTTGTCAAAATGTATGGAATTTTATGCTCAAGATTTATGTTGTTTCCCTTTTTTAATTAACAAAGACACATTCAGCAGCAGCAATCTGGCTACTTTATTTTTCCATTGTGACTATAATAATGCACCTAGTCAAATGCTGTCAAATGCCATACTATTCTAGTTTATGCAATACAAATGCTCTCCTAAGATTTCTGACTTCTTACCTTATTAACTTCTGGTGTGAGGATTTCTATTTTTCTTAACCGTTGAAAAGCATCATAATCAGTTTCCCCAAATAATCTAATTGGTTCTCCTCTTTCTCTCAATCTTCTGATAACCTATTTAAAAAAAAAAAAAATCATGAAAAGATAACAGTAATTCCAATTTTAAGTAGTGAAAATTTAGTTTTAAATATGCATGGAGAAAAAGTTGTGTTTACTTTTTCTTTAATTTTCCATGGACAGATATACCAAGTCATCACAATTTAAATATTTGAAAGGTTTTAGGTCCTTTGCTGACTGTTTCAAGAAAGGACCAGCCGATGCAGCAAGATCCATAAGAAAATAATGAAGAAAGGAGGAGGCAATAATATTTATAGAGAAGAAAAAAGAAATCTGGAGGTAGATTTCCAATAACTCTTTGGCCATAATCAAAAATCAGCAGTGCAATACTACAAAAAAAATCAAAATTTGCCACTCAAAAGAATGAGTTATGATTAGGGATGGGCATATACAGAGTTTCTGAGGTGCTAATAACACTATTTTCTTAACTTGCTTGATGGTTAGATTGGTATTTGCTTTGCAGTTATTATACAGCAAATGCATTTTTTTATTCCGTAAAAAGTTGTATTTCATCAAAAAGAGAAATGTAAATTGAACTTAAGATCAATATCCATATTAAAAAACTACTAAGAAAGTTTAAGTGGTACCGTAAATAGAACACACCTAGAAATAGAAGCCACTGGTAGGGCTCTCACTGGATTAATTGAAGCCTGATGTTCAAACAGAAAATTAAAGATGAATTAGTGCTTTCTCCAAAACATCCTTGTCAGCTCAATGTGTGATAAATAACAGTGATCACATTTACTTAAGAAACAGTCCATCCCATCTTGAGACAGATACTTTGTTTCTTGAAATAAAGTAAAATTTCTACCTCCCTCAAACTTCCTCAGTTCTGTTTTATGAAACCATAGAAAATATGAATTCTTTCTCAAAATTAGAGCTATTGTCAATGAATTTAACATGTCTCCAATACTCTTCTCTCTAGGCTTAATCTTGAATCCTTTAATTTTCACATGACAGTTTCTAAAGTCATTCATCCTTTCCTCTGAAAGTTTCCTTTTGGTCAAAGTCTATTTTGTTTTATACCCATCTGTTTTAAGTTTGAATTCTTTATGTCACATGAATAACTTAATTATTAATTAATTAATTTATTTATTTATTGAAGAAAAGTTTATTAAGGAAAAGAGACAGAAAAAAGTGGTACTTCCAGGCTGTGAAACCAGGCCATGGAGGGATAAGGAAGCCCTTTTTCTTTTTTTAAGGAAAATAGCAGTTGATATACAGGAAAACATATAAACTGTAACCAAGAGTCCTCTGGTAAGAGTACATCTAAAGTCTTAGAAAAGTTCAAAGTATTTAATACAGAGTCCAGAAATTATGCTTCTTAAAAGTGTCCAAAAGTAACAATCATAATGTTACTAGGAATGGCAATGACATCTGTATAAGGAAATTCATCTTAGTATCGTATTGCAGGGAAATGCTGAAGCAAGTGACCATTAATAACTGGTTTTCAAAATATTATGGAAAACTAGTTGTAACAAACTATATGTATGTCTATTTTTTGACCTAGAAAAATATACTGGTTAGCAAAAGTAACCTGTAAAAGTATGTTATTTAAGGCCTCTCTGGTGGCGCAAAGGGTTAGAACTCAGCACCTGCAAGCTAGAGCTGCAGCCACCTCAGTGTGAGTTCGATCCTGGCACTGGAGGTGATCCACATGGCGTGGTAGACATCTCCCGTCTTGCCTGCTGCTCCCCTCAGCAGTGTGCTTCACCAATGTGCCTGTTCTGCTCCCCACTCCTCTCACTGTCCCTGCAACTCTGACCTGTACTCCAGTTCTGTATGAATAAATAAATCTTTAAAAGAAAAAAAAGTGGAGACTTAAAAGAAAAAAGTATATTATTTAAAATAGCTTTATAATTATTTAGAATATATACTTCTTTAAAACAATGTTTAATTTTTAAGTGTAAATGAATTTTTTTCCAAGTGTAAGATGATAATATCAAGGAAAGAAGAGGTTTGGAAACTCACGAAGAAAATAGGCTAGTTACACAGTATTTTTAATTCATTAGGTCATCCTATGTGAGAAATAATGTCATATGACTTATTGGAAAGAAGTGAAGATAATGCAAATGTTGTATAAAAACTTCTCTTCATGAAACATATACTCACATAAACTTACCTCTTGCCTGGAAAGAGTCATGGGTAATTTTTCCTCTGCAAGTTCAAGTTCCAACACTGGATTTGATGAAGTTAATGGTTTTTGGTCCTCTTCTTTTGGCTGTATCTATAATAGCCAAAAGAAGTAAAATTCACATTTAAAATAAAATATTGTTAATATTTATCCTTCTGTGACATTAGCTATTCTTGGAAGTTAAATGTTTTAATATTGAAGGCCTTCCAAATGTGTCTCTAAGGAAAGATCTGATAATAAATGTACATGCTTTTAAGAGTTTATGAAACATATCCATATCGGGGACACCACCACAGGTAGAAAGCATGCACATAGGAGAGAGCATTCTTGCTACAGAAGAGTGACTTAAGTATAATGATTTGATTTCTAAAATCAAAAACTTAAAAGGGTTGAAACTTTGAGACTCATTTTCTCCCTGGACTTTAAAGAATGTTACTTTCACTTAAAAACAATTCACTTTTTCTTTTTTGAGAAAACCATTTTACAGGGTTATTTGATCCTTGCTCTGGGTTTATAATGAAGAATAAAGATAAAATTGCTTTCCAATAGAAACCTGTGAAGGCTCAAGCTCAGGCTTTTTCATACCTTACTTTTTGAAAGATACTACATGAAATGCTCAGAAATCACTGTTGGACATGAAGAAAAATTCCCAATATGCTACAGAACTTGCCCTCACACTGAGTTCTGAACCTTGTGGGAGAATAATGAAATATAGCACCTCTCTGTTCACAACACAAAAACATTCTTGTTTGTAAGAACCCTCAGTAAAAAAATCTCTTCATATACTTTCTTGAGTCTGCTGCCCAATTCACAATTTAGGAAAACTGAGTTCAGCAATGTATAATCTCACTTGTATGGTCTGTAAAAGATATTGAAACATGGTTTCCCATCTGACCATACACAAATCTAAAATGCTAAAAGCAGTAAAACAAGAAAAATGTACATAGATAAAAGCAGATCAGGAGTAGGAAAGAGATTAACATTCACTTGAAAAATTTATGGCTTAAATATAATTTATGATTCCATAGTTCATGATTCAAGGTTACAATCATCAACCTAAATGGAGCTAACAGAAAGCTGAGGTAGAAAACTAAACTTTCATATTTCTCATAAATCAAATCAACACTGAGCCTTAAAAAAAAGGGGGGGATAACGAATTTCTATGACAGAATATAGGTAATATATGCTGTATTTTCACTACTACCCAAAAGATTTTTGAGGAGAAAAATCTATGCTTTCATTTTAAGCATAAAAACAGGTACAGCTCCAAAATTCTCAGGATAAAAGCATTTCTATTATAGAATGGCAGTAATAGCTGTAAGGAAAAGAGCTCTAATACAGTCTGTCAACTAAACTCAGTATTAACAGCAATATCTTTACAGCAATTACTCTGCCTCAGTGCTTTCCTTTATAGAAAAGAATACTACTTTATCACTGAGGCAATCTACACAAAGCAAAATTGTCACTGTTTTAAATTATTTTCCTACCATCGTTTTAAATTATTTTCTTAGCATATCAAAAAGTTGAAAGGGTTCAAATTTAGGGATCTAGGAAAGGAACAAGTCAGCAAAATAAACCCATGGTTAAGTTGAGTCTCATTCCAAATCAAGTTTTAGTTAAGTCAATGTTGGCAAGTAAAAGATGAGAATTATTTCTAAATACCTATTTCAATAATATTTACATAAAAATTACTTTGATTTCCTAAACTAAAATAAAATCAACATTATCTATTGGAAACATTAAAATATGAATGTTTATATTTTAGAAAGTCACTAGAAACAAAACTACATTTTTAATACTTTCTCCCAACACGACAAATAAAACCAAATGCATATACATACCATTTGCATTCCTCATGCTTTCTTCTAGAAATGCTATGCCAGATAAATTAATTTCCAGAACTTTCCCCATTACATGCACAAGTATTATATTGACATTTCACAAGCAAAAAGTTCACTTCAAATTTATGATTTGACAAATATATTTCAACAGAATCTCTGAACTTTGGTTTTAAAAGTAATTAGATATTGTCTTCTTTCAAACTAAGCTTAATGCAACTTTGCCTCATAACCTTTAACTCCTCCCAATAAAATCCCAATACACTATTCAAATAAATAATAATCTCAAAGATAATTTCAGTCATGCTTTTAAAACACACAAACTCTTCCAGACAACTCATTTGTTGCTAAAAAAAAAATTTCAAGTTTACATTTTATATCCAATAGACTAAGCAGTGTTTGAAATGTGATACCTTATTAAACAAAAGCATATAAATGTTACATGGCACTAATTCCAGGCAGAAGTACTTAGGGCCAAATGGAATTATTGACAATGTAAACATAAAGTCAATGGCTTAAGATATTCGAGAGAAAGCAGGGAAAATAGCCACTGCTAATACCACTATTGCTTGAGGAATAAAATATTTTTGAACTCTTTAAAAATAGACTTTTATTGGGAGAGGTGGAGAGAAGAGTGGTGATGGTAATGAAAATGAGACAGTATCGGTTCAGGATTTAATTAAAAAAAAAAAATCCAAGCCTTGATTTCAAGCCACTTCATGCTGTCCACAAGAAGCCAAACCATTCCAAGCCAAAAGTCATGCACGTATTTTCCTGAATTCAAGATTTAAAAAAAGAAAAACAGAACCAAAAACTCATACCTCTCCAGATGGCTTCTCATTTATAGGCTAATATATAACATTGATAAATTGAACAGAGATCAATGATTTTGTCACTTTAACAGCAGATGTATAAATTTCAACTCAGAAATATACAGTTTAACATAAAAGCAGACTTTCATACCTTATAGCCACATCTTTCAAAATAAGCTTCCTCTTCTTTTTTTGCAAGTTCACTACGTTTGAAATACTTTTTATTTTCCTATTGAAGAAAGAAAGAAGTTAATAACATGTCCTTGGTAAAAATGTCTTGATCTATGGTCAAGAAGTTGCCTTCAGAAACCTGAAGACACTTGTTTTTTCAAGAATTTGGTACTCTTTTTTTGGTTCTGTAGAAATTACATTGATTTCCTGAACACATCACCCTCTTCCACTCCTGATGTGGGTACTGATATGTGACAAATACTGACATTTTTTTCTTGAAATATTTTAACAGGCATATCTAACAACAAAGAGAAGAAAGCAACAATGTTTTCCAAATGCTCCACTGATTTGATTTACTTTCCCCAGTGTTTTGAGTTCAAAGATAAATTCTACAAATGGCTCACAATGAACCACATAAAATGGAAATGTTTTAACTATTTTTTCCTAACAGGAAAAAAAAAATCAACAAAATTATGGTATCTATAGCTCACATCTTAATTCCTTTTACCAAGCAGGCTCCAAGGGTATTCCAAATTCCTTTTTGTCATCTGGAATCAATTCACTGTATTTGTATTAAATCAGCTCTTAAAATAATCTAGACAATCTAAATGGTTTTGTAGAGTCTTTATTAAAAAGATGACTTAAGAGTTATTTGTTTTAACATGATTTGGTATTAACAGACAAGCACTAAATGTACTGCAGTGGGGAAAATGTTAGTTCATTCCACATTATTCATAAAAGTATGTTCAATGTTAAATCTGCAGTCTGTAATTGGAGGCTTGTTACTCTATGCAGCTTATTCCATTGATGACTTTGCTCAAACAGACAGTGCCCTACTTAATTAGTAGTAACAATAATAGCACCTCAATAATACCTCTACACATGTATTTAGCACCCTCTAACACCAAAGCTCATTCACTCAATGATCACCAATTACTGTTAAGAATATTACCAGAAAGGCTGATTGTGAACAATGAAAAGATGAGGCTATGAAAACACTTGAAACCACTGATTAAGCTTGGCATCAGGAAAACACTGCATTTCCTATGGGATACACAGAGGAAGTACACAGCACCACCTATAAAGTATTCTAGTTAAAAAACTAAATCTAATTCTAATAAAACATTGAAGTCTAACTTCTAGTTTACTAGAAATGTACAGACATGCTACAAAATGTAGAGATTAACTAAGTGATACCACTGGAAAGCAGTTAAACACTGGGATATTAACTAAGCTAGCTCCAGTTTCTCAACAAGTTAAAAGTATAAAAATAGGGAAAGTTGAGAGAATGAAAATGTTTCTGATCAAAAGAAACCAAGATTCATAATAAACAACTGCAATGACCTTGTGTGGATTTGATCTGAACAAACCAACTGTAAAATCATATAGGTATGTATTTTAATTCAATTAGGGACAGTGAATGTGAAAGGCGTATTTGATGGTATTAAAGACCATCAGAATTTCAATTTTGTATGTGTATGTATGGATGTGGTCATACTTTGTTTATATAAGAATGTGTACTTATTTTTTAGAGTTACATATGTCTGGGAAAGGGTAGACGAGTTTATTATGCAATTCTAGTTGTGTGTAGGTTTAAAACTTTTATGCTAAACAACTTCGTATTTTATTTCAGGTTAAAAGTTTTTTATTTTTAATGAAGTAAATAGGTTCATAAGTTTCAGATGTACAATCTTATAAATCAACACCTATACGTAATATATTATATTCCACACCAAAAGTCTAGTTTCTATCCATCATCCAATTGACCCCCTTTAATGGATTTAAACACTCAAGTGCCCCCTTCCTTCTGGTAACTACTATTTTGTTCTTAAACACTAACAATTTTTGCTTTATCTTGAATAAACGCTTTTAAGTTCATTAACTCAATAAACATTTACTGATTTTCTATCATACACCATGCACAGCTTTTATTACTGTGTCTCAATTTCATGGAATACACCTACTAGAACTTTAAGCCTAGAACATCAACTCTCAAAATATGGTTCACAGGCCCGTTGGAGTCTTACTTAGAGGTTCCTAAAGGTTCAGATTTTCACAAGAATACTAAGACATTACGTAACCCTTTTTTACCTACTGTGCCCTCATGCGCACTGATAGCACAAAGCAATGGTGGAGAAAACTGCTGGAACCTTAGCATAAATAAAGATTACATAACTTATCTATGTACCAGCAGTCACTGTATGTCTTACTAGCATGCACTTGCAGGAAAATAAAACAGGCCAGTTTCTCTTAAGAACATCTCAGTAAAGTATAATTTTACCAAATCTCAACCCTTGCATACACTGCCTTTGAATATTTGGCATGATGCAATAAAATGAAACATAAAGCACTTATGCTACATAATGAAGATAGTTTCTAAAAGAAAAGCACTTGTGCATCTTTTTGGTAATTTTGACCTGCATATTTGGCTGACATTTTCTCAAAACTGAGCAATGCAAATTTGACACTTAAAGAAAAACAATGACAGTATTTGTTGAGTATAGTAAAATTACAATTTTCAATGAAAAACTAAAATGATGAAAAGCTTGTATCCACCACTGTGAACTTGACAGTTTCCCGATACACATTTTGATGAAATCTGGGGTTATATTAATGATTTTTTTATATTGTCAACTGAAACATACCAACATTTAGAAGGTGTGCATAATTCAAAAACCATGTTACAAAATCATGAAGAGGCAAAAAAATTGTGAGCAGTACAGATCGATGGATATTAAGATGCATGAAGTTCAATGATGTTGGTCAGAATCCAAATCCAACTAAGTAATCTTTAAGACAGTTATCACTTGTGCATAGTTATCAAAGAATATACACAATTATCTAAAAAAGTGATCAAAATATTCCCTTTTCCAGTTAACTGTTTAAGTATGAAATGTCTTCATAGACTTGAACAAAAACAGTCTATGAATGGAAATATAGGAGAAGACCACTATGTTCTGGTATGTCAGAGATTAAAAGAATCTGTAAAAACATAAAATAGTCTTGCTAAATCTCCTTTCTATTTGAAACTATAATCACTTTTCACAAGTACATATTTATAACATATGTAGATTTAATTACCATATAATATAAACATGGAATCTAGGTATTTTTTAATTTCCAAGTTTTAAGGTCTTAGTAACTATCAACAATATATTCCAACATAAATGCCTTTGGAACCACTAATAATTAATAAAAGGAGTCCTAGACCAATAAGAACCACTGTCCTAGAAGAATCTATTCTCCATGTTCTCACCTAGTATGCTAAGCAAAGTTGGAATATTAGTGCTGCTCACTGATCCTGGTATATTTATCTATTCAGTTTTCTCTCTATATTGACAATCCCTTCATATCCTTCATTTTCAGCAAATGACTAAGCCACTCTATGGGGGGGGGGGGGAAGAGCACTCAAATTTCGCCTAATACCAACCCTTACCTGGACCTGCATCAACACTTCATTCCAGCTTACTCCAGATCTCAATTCCTCAGCAATTTCCCATAAACATCTATTCTCCCTTCAGCATCTTCTCAATAATCATTACTTAAATACGTTTAAGATTCCTAACTGTAAAGGAAAAGTTCCTCACTATGGCAAGGATGACATGCTAAGCACCATTTACAGCAGAACTCCACTAAAAGGTTTATCTTTCTCCATTTCCTCACTCCCTATTTTATTTGCAAGCCCCCCCTCCAGTTTTATTTGCAAACTCAGTCATCTTGTGCAGTCTTCAATTCAACTGCTAGTTCTCCCTTATTTAATCACTTTCTTCTGTGGATTGTCAAGTAATTTTCTTAATTCATCTCCACTAACTGATGTGTTCAGGTTTTTTTATTTTTGCATTTTTTGTAGTTCACTTAGATATTATGTATTCAAATAATGTATTATTCTCCCTAATTATTTATTTTACTTTTCAGTATCTTCCACTTTGCTTACTGTAGGTCCTCCTTTTATTATTTCAACTTCAGGATTTCTTCCAATTTCTGTTAAAATTTTTAAAAGTTGTTTTTATATTTTAATAAATGAAGAAGTGCAAGGGTAGATTTAGTGTGGTACTGTTTGTATTATGAAAAAGGAGAAAACCACATTGGCTTCTTTCCCACAAGTCATATAGGAGGACACAAAAAGATTTCCTACTATGCTTCAAATGTCACTCTTTGTATATACTCTGCTTAGAGACAAAAGTTTGTAGTAAGAGAAGCAACTACAGCGGTAATTTCTAATTGCAAAACATTTTATGAAGCACACTAAAAATACATTTTGAAATACAAAGTGCTATGGATACATTTATGACAGGTCCTTTGACTTAAAGGACCTAAAAACACAGAAGTTCATATGTTAAGTGGCTCCATATTTTAAGACAGCATATGAACTGACAATTTCCTTGGATTCTTTCCTAATATTGGATACCTAATATTTCCACTAGGCCTTTCATCCTGACAGATTTCAAAACAAATTGAAAATGCTAAACATTAAAATTGTTTCTCCTTTCAAAGATATAATCTAATTCCTACATGCTGCTTTAGAAATATCATTATTGAATTCAGTCCAAGCCTATACTTTCTGGATTATAAAACTGTGATTCAAAGTGTACAAACCTTTCAACCACATCATCTGAAGTGCCTACCCATATTAACAAATGAAAATGAAAATTAAAAACAACATGCAACCATGACTGTTAACATTAATTCAGAATCATCATTCCATCAGTCACGTTAGGGTTTTTAGTGCTTATATAAATAGGATACAAACATCCGTTAAGAGCTCTACAAAAGACACTGAAAAACTAACAAATATACAGCCTACACAGGCAAAGCAAAACGTGTGAAATCACAAACCATGTGGCAGGGTCACTTTGCTAAAGAATCAAAGTAAACCTCAAAGAGTGTGATTAATAAGGCAAATAGTAAGGAGCACAAATGCAGTCTAAAGTGACATTATGCTTTACAGAGTGAAAGACTGTCAAGTGTCAATGAATCCAGTACCTAGGCAATATATTCTTTTCAATAACGTCGTTAACAGTAGAAAACTACATGAAAATCTACCTTACACACCTGAAT